GTGCCACCGGCAGCGGCCACACCCCCACGGGAAAAACGCCACAGTGGTAAATCCAGTCTGTCACCGCCGCAGCCCGCGCTGCTGCGTTCCGCGGGCGAGCGGAGAGTCCCCCGGGCGGGAGCGCAGGGCCCGGCGGTGCCCGCGGGGCCGCTGTGGTTTCTCGGGCGGCCCCGGTGCCGCGCTCTGCGGTGCGCGGGGCACGCGCTTTCATCTCAGAAATAGTTTAACGTTTCTGGGTGTTCATTTAGATGTGGTGTGCGGGTTAAACATAACGTACGATCGCTGCTCCTCTCATTGCTTCCAATTAAACCCTGCTTGTTAGTTTAACCTCTAGGTAATCCCATCAAACAATTGATGTCAAGGAAACACTGCCCACAGTGGCTCTGGATGAGTGGCCATTAATTTTAATTGCCTTGATATTAAAGATTAAGAAGTATTGGGACTAGCAGAATGGAAACGATCTGATGTCAAGCAAATCCACTCGTTGAGGCTTCCCCAGGCTGCTGGTGATATTAAAATTTTACTGTGAGAATTAAATAAACCTTTATTAGTGATGGCTGTTGTTTGATTGGTCCAGGGGCGTGCATAAACAGAGGGGTATGTGGACAATACGGTTGATGTACAGAGATTCCTCAATTATGAAACTGTTAATAAAGCATAATCTGATTGTCCACAATAATTATTTGCTAGGTTTCATTAATGTATTATTGCTTCTGTGACTGACAAGGTAATATTAAGTGCAATATATAGAATTCGGTGGAGTATTATCTAGGGAGCAGAATGTATAAGGTACCTCCGTATTGCCCTTAAAAGCTCGAGGCTTTTCATTAATTGTGGTTAAACAAAGGCTACGCTACGTAAAATGCAGTGAGGTTTGTCTCCTGCCTGCAGCGGGGTGCCTTACTGGGCGCTGTGGTGTGGGTGCCTTACTGGGCGCTGTGGTGGAGCACAGGGCGTGAGAGGTGCCGCAGAGCCACCACGGCTCGCGGCTCGTGGTGGGGCACAGCCATGGGACCCGAGTCCCTGCCCCAGCCCGTGCCAGGCGGGTGGGTGACAACCACTTGGATGGCACTGCTCCCCTCCCCTTTACCTCTGTCTTGTTGCAGATGCTTTTTTTGTCTCGGCAGCCTTGGCCGTTGTCTGGGTTTGTTATTTAGGAGCTCTGTTCCAGCAGCTGGAGTTAAACAAAGCCACTGAGAAAGATTGTATGAACTTTTCTGAGCAGCTCCGGCCGTGACCTCTGCGTGGGTTAATAGTCGGGACCCCGTGAGCCATCTTGGCTTCAGTAGAGTATCTTCAAAGGGAGATGACAAAGTGACTTTTCAGCCATTATTGATTTATATGATTCCTTTCATTTTCAGCCGACCAAACACGATTCTATGAGTTGGCTGCCAAGGTTGTTCCAGCCCAGAAATAAAGAACAATTGCTCTCGCTGCCTGCTCACCTGCAGTCAACCGGACCTTGGTCCCCCTTGAGCGGCTTTCGGGGTCTTGCACTGATTTCGTTGACAAATGGCTCATGGTAGTAGGAGACAATGCTGTACTAAATGCTACAGCGAGCTCCAGGATATGCGTCGTCACCAAAGAGTCACCCCTCGTGCATCGGTTTGCCAACAGAGAAGCAGAGTCAGGTCACGCTCATGTTCATAGTCGTATTTAACTGATCCTTGGTTCCTGCTTCGTTAACTGGAGTACCTGGCAGATACGGGTTGGGGGCTGGGGCACGCGTGTTTGCTGGACCACACATGACATCTTGAAGGGATCACGCTTTGCCAGGTCAAGCGCTTTGAGTCCTTCACCCTCCCCACCTCTCTCCACCACAGGTGTCCAACTGGTTTGGCAATAAGAGAATCAGGTACAAGAAGAACATTGGGAAGTTCCAGGAAGAAGCCAATCTCTACGCGGCAAAGACGGCTGTGACCGCAGCGCACGCCGTGGCCGGGGCCGTCCAGAACAACCAGACAAACTCCCCCACCACACCAAACTCTGGTATGTAGCCGGCTCGGGCGTTACAGCATCTGAAGGGTGGTCCATAAAGGAAGACCCTCGATGGTGCCCTAGTGAGTTCGGTCGGGCTGAGAAGGCTGCAGCTCCCTGGCAGACCTGGTCGTGGCACGGGGAGCCGTACCGAGCCCATGGGCCTCCGGGCTGGACCGCAGCAAGGGCCGAGCTCGGGCAGCAAAGCTCCCGTGGCCTTTCCGGGGAGCGGAGCGGGGCCCACGTAATTCCCGCAGCGATAACGTCTGCCTGGCTCCAGCTTCTGGCAGCTTCTTTGTTTCCATAGATACTTTAAGCTTTTTCTCATTCAATGAAAATAACATAAAATGAGGAAAAGCTCCAAGTCTCTTTTTGTAGAACTGATAAATTTATTGTCAAGATAACAAAATAGAGGAATTATCTTAGAATAAAACTAATTAGAATTTAAAATCTGGGTTGCTTGAAATGGAGTTGATATTATATCTAGAAATCTAAGGATGCAACTCTTATTTTGGAGTTGTTCTACCACATCTTCTTCTGTAGTATTTAAAAATTGTCTCGCTAGTGTGTTGTTGACATTTTGCAAATCTACGTGTTATATTAGTAGGGGAGTTTGTGAAGAGGAAGTCGCTTTTTTCGGCTCTAGAGGCGCAAAGGTTTCCACAAAGCACAGATGTGTTTGACACCATTTACAGTGAAGTTTTGCTGCGACTTAGCTGTAGACAACTCTTAAAGGGTATAAAGATCCATGGGGAAAAAAAAAAGCTTGAATCAAAAGAAAGTATGAAAAAGGTTCCTCCTCTGATGGCAATAAATCGGCTAATTAGAAATTGCCAGCCGTTTCCTTCGGAAGGAGACGTTCAGCACAGACTCAAAATGAGCTTTTCTCCGAGCGTTTGGTGATAGCATCTCGCGCTGAAGCGATCCACTGGAGCAGAACTCTCGACATGAAAACCTGTTCTTGCTCTTCCA